GAGAGAGAGAGAGAGAGAAGGAGAAAAAGAAAGAGAGAGAGAGAGAGAGAAGGAGAAAAAGAAAGAGAGAGAGAGAGAGAGGAGAAGAGAAAGGGAAGAGAGTGAAGTTTCAAGGTGAACTCTCACAAACCAAAGTTGTCAAACAAAACTGTTCTAGTCCAAGTGAAGACTCTCCAAGTGAAATCGGGTTGAAGTATTTGTTTCTTTCAAGTAAGTGATCAGTGAAACCCTCAGAGAAATCCCTTAGTGAACACTCTAGAGTGAAAACAGTCCTTGTCATCAAGTCTCTCAAGCTGTGCAAAGTTTTAAACATTGTTAGTGATTTTTAAAGAAACCTCCAAGTTTGTTAAAGACCTAGGCTAGAAAACATAAGCTTAGGTTATTCTAAAAGAAGGTTAGGTTATGGTTAGGTTAAAGTTCTATGTTTTAGGTTATTCACAAAATAGACTATCTAGGTTAACATAACCTCTGTTTTCACATAACCTAACTCATGTTTTTTAAACCTAACCCGATCTATAGGGTAAGTTTCCCTAAAACGCGAAACCAATGAATAGTGCGAGCGTGAGCTCTCCTGCGTCTAGTATCTAGTTTTCGTATACAGGTAGCATAGCTACTTAGTTCTCTGGCCCTCTAGCCTCAATCACGTAGCCGCCTACTCAGCGGCTGAGCCGGAAAAGACCCAACGAAACCCGAACGAAACCGCCCTGGAGCCACCAGCGGATCGAAGTAGACACACTCATCCCCAGCGACGGGCGCTTCATCGCTGATCTTGAAGGTGAGTGGATCAGTTAAGTTGTTGATTTCGAGCACCGAGACTTCTCCTTGGATTTCCTGTGCAAAAGAGATCTCCAGCAGAGAATTGGAATTCCTTGCGAGCAACACATGCGAGCGCGGTGCGGAGGGGGGTGGGTTAGCTCGTTTGAACTCATCCGCTCAACAGGCAAAACACAAAGAAACAAGCAACCAACGGTGGCCAAGATTCAGCAGAATGGGGTCAGTGTCTTTTTTCTGTGGAAAGGATTTACCAACGGCTGGAAGCAAATCTGTGACAACCAGCATCAAATTCCCTGTGGCCAAGTCGTTCAACGTCTCCGGCAGCAACACCACAACCTCCGAACCTGTCAGGTCCATTCAACTGGATATGGCACATGCTGCTGCCAAAGGTTGGTGATGTGGCACATGTCACGAACGGCCCTATATTCAGATCAGAAAATGCTTCCCACATGTTCAAAAGTAGAACCCAAACAGCCACAGAATCTGCCGCGTGGTCATCCAAGGAAACTCTGGGTGCCTTCAGCATCACTTCGATTGATTCGGACCACGTTGCTGGAAGTGCTGGCGCCCAACTTGATGACAGTAACAACTCCTGACTCCACTACCTGCGAAAGCGACGTCTCATCCTGGCAAACGATCTCTGACTTGGAAAAGCATGCTTTGTGAATAGAACACATACGTGTTGTCTTTCTATCCCACCTTATCTATTCATCTATCTAAGCACATGCGCATATATGTATGTATGCATGCATGTATGTATGTATGTGCTGAAAAAATGGTCCACCCATACATCAAGCGAACCGTCTCAATTAAAGAAAGCGGACATCATCGTCGACATTGTAAACGAAACCTGCTTGTGTCTCACAGCGCCGAAGCAGAATGAAGGCGGAAACACATGTGTTGATGGAGCAAACTGGGAACTGGGAAATACTCTTTTCGGAACGAAATGGTTGGTTTTCCAGCTCCCTCTGTGGCACGAATGGTCACTTTACAGTAATTACCAGCTGACTATGAGACACTTGGATTTGCTGTCCAGGAAGCTGGAACAATCAAAAAAGATTCACCAGGTTGTGGGGATCGGATTTCACCAGGAAGCGGGAAGATCAACAATCGCCTGATCCGCAAATCGCCCTGGTGGTGCCAATTTATGGGACTCACTTCCAGCCATGCAACGGCTGAGTCAAAAAACCATTCCCCCTGCTATTCGGACCACGTGGCACCCCACGCCTTTTGAGGAACATGGTCTTCTCCCGGCAAACAATGTAAAGACGTTCCGGAACGACGATCATATGGATCCCGGCAGGGCGAACATGAAGCGATCGTTGAACCCTTCCAACGAATGAAGCGGCGCGGCCCGGTTGAACGAATGAAGCCAGTTCGTCTCTGGGTCACTCATCCCTCGTGGGACACGAAAAACGCCGGTCGCCTGAAGGCGCGAAAAACAGTGCGGGCGGTGGCTCCTTGGAGAAGATCACCTCGCTTGCGATGCTGAGCGATTCTGCAAGGATGTTTCCAGCCATGGTGCCCAGAACTCCTGCCAGTTGCACCATGAATATTAAATCTATTGGACTGTGGCGGGGAAAAAGAGAACGGTGTTGATACAGCCTGTCGCACTTTTGGTCGAACCTTGCCACACATCTTTCGGCATGGCGATCCCAAAAGGTCAGCCACTAGCCACCAACAATGGTTTAAACTACCATCCGATTATTAGGTTGGAGGCCATCGCTAGTAGAAACAAAGAAAACAACAGGAAGAAAGGCTTAATACCGTTGGTGGAAACCGCCTTCCGGAAGCTTGACGGAATCCAGCAGCGTGCTGGTGCTCGTCGTGCTGCTGCTTGAAGTCGAGGTGGAGGTCCTCAACAAACAAGTGATCATTGCCCATTGATTTATCCATGGTCCATGAGTTTATCATTGTTGCGTTTGATTTATCATGGTTGATTGACTATCCAATATCTCCAACATACCTCCATCCGAAAACTGTATACATGTTACACATGTAACATTTTTTCCATCCCACAAAAAACGCGCAACCAACATCGAATGATCTATTCAGAATTATTTAGTAACTAAAGGGCATCGCTAGATCAGGTTGCAGGCCGACAGTTCAAACATAGTATCATCCCTCTAGACTCCTCTATCCATCTTGATCCATCTTGATCCCTCTTCATCGCGATGTCACTGCTGCTACTGCATATACCCGTCCTGCTGCTGCTGGTCACGCTGGTCTCGGTCAAGCTTCGACTCGAGGACGTGGAGGAAGTGCTCGAAGTACTCGAGCTGGTCCAAGAGCTTTGGCCTCGTAGCAGCTCAGAGGTTTGGTCATAACAACTGGTCGTTCGATGCCCAAATAGAACACCCCCAAAACATAGAAGTTCCAAGTTCGTGCTCATCAAACACATTTAGAAGAGTCTATGTGCAAGAGAGGTCAGTTTGGGAAAAACATAGGATACGTCCTCCAACACAGGCCTTTGAAGACGTATCCTATGTTTGGCCCTTTGACCTTTGTTGTGATCATGGTGATCATGCTAGTGGAAGGCAGCATACACACAACTTTTGGTATTCCATGATGAGAGACTTGATGTAGTACTCGTTGATGTCTCAGTGGAAGTCGAACTCACTGATGTGGTTAAGGTGCTTGAAGATTGCGTCGTTGAAGATGTGTGAGTGTGAGAGGCGGTGCTTGATGTCAATGAAGCAGTGGATGAAGCGCTGCTTTGGGACACAGTGCTGCTGCTACTTGCCGAGGTGCTACTTCTTGAGTGTGTTGTGGATGAGGAGCTGGTACCGCTCGTGGACGACACGGTAGATGTCCTCGTAGAAGAGGTGCTGCAGCTGACAGAAGTGGATGTCGGCCACGTAGAGGTTGAAGTGACTGCAAAGGTTGAGTTTGTTGAGCGCGTAGCAGTGGAGAGGGTTGTCTGTGACGTAGTCGTACTGCCAGTGCTATTGGATGATGCAAGTAAGGAGGTTGAGGGCGACGAAGGTGGTGTGGAGGTTGAAGTGATTGAAGACAATGATGACGCCGAGGAAGTGGTTGAAGTCAATGCTGACGCCGAGGAAGTGGTTGAAGTCAATGCTGACGCCGAGGAAGTGGTTGAAGTCAATGATGACGCCGAGGTTGAAGTGGTTGAAGTCAATGATGATGCGGAGGTTGAGAAGGTTAAAGTTAAAGTGGGTGTTAGCAACTCAATCGCTAAGATGCCAGC